TAACGTTTTTCAAAACTCGATCAAAGTCATATAGATCCGACATATATGAGTCTCGTTGTTTTCTTTAGCAGCTGAAAATTGTTTAAAATATTGATATAAATTCACTAATCAAAATGGATCCAGGTGGATTCTGGTGGATTCTATGGATCCTGGTGGAATCTACGGCTCCTGGTGGATTTTAGAATCCATCAGGAGCCACCAGGAGCCGCTTTTCCCCCCTTGAAATCATTGCTTCACTAGTTAACTAACGAAGATGTATGAGTGTGAGATCTGGTGCAGGTTTGAGTGTTGGTTCCCTCTTCAGTTCCAATAAACCGTCTACATTTAGAAACATGTTCAATCCGCGCCTACACCTTGATTCTTTTGAACAGTATAGAGACTTTTTTTGACAATTCAGAATTGATGATCGAAGCAATATTCTTTGTGTGAAACCATCAAGTGCAAAATATATTAAAATATATGATTGAATTTGATTTCGGTTCGAAAATGAATAATAGTGCGCAATTACGTTTTTGACTGAAAGAAAGACAATAGAATCGCGCTATCTTCATTTACATTTTCTTCAATTTCTCTCCCACTGTTTTTCATGCAAAATTGTTAATAAGTTGAAAAAATCTCAATAGAGCACAGCATTTGTAAAGATTCTTACCTTTTCGACGAGTCTCTTACTTTATTTCACAAAGCAGCTGCATGGTACATTAGTCAAGCCAGAATCCTCTTAAAATCAAGTTTGCACTTTTTTCAACAGTCGCTTCAATGGTAATAAGGCATTTTCTCTTTGGGTCACAACATTCAATTTCATTTCAGAGACGCTTGACTGCCTCAAAAATCAATTCTATCTATATTAAGACTATAATCGTAAGCAGTTTTCGTACGAAGGAGCTTTCTTCCGTGTTCAGTTCTTGTTATTCGAATTAATTATAATGACTGACCCACGACAGATGCACCACCTTGTTTTTTCTTGTCTTGGCGACTTCTTTTGTTTTACTAAATAAATTTTGCTTTTTCCCTGAGAAAACAATTGCAAGGATTCATTTCTATCCCAGTGAAAATTAGTTTGATTAAAATTTGATTGTTCTGTAGCGCAATTCAAATTATCAATCAATTGACAATGTGGATTTTACTGGAAAACAATCCGATTTTAATCAAACTAATTTCCATCGGGCTAGCAATAGATTCAATTTGGGTTAAATGGTAGTCGATTAAAATCGAAATTATCAATTTGATTGCGGATTGTATTTTGTTGCACAATAACATGATTGAAATCAGCGAATATTTTCCCCTGGGATTCGATCACTCAATTTCGATCTCGTATTATCTTGAAATAAACGCTGATTTTTTGTAAGCCTGCATCAATCTAGTCCGATATTAAAAGGCATGTATTTCTCAGCAATACATAAGGATTTGTATAATCACTCCTGTTTTCATTAACTTTTCAATGCTGTTGATTTAGCAGCCAGGAGCGAGATGCTGGTTAGTATCAAAAAGGAAAATGTCGAACAGAAAATATTGATGTAGGAAAATATCGAAACCTAAGGGTGTAGATCTTTCTTTGGAAGACAAGTAGGAGTAGCTGTCTAATTCGAGTTCGAATATAAATGGAGAAAAGAAAAAGTTAAACTAAAACTAAATCTATTCCTAGATTTAGTTTTAGTTTAGCTTTCCGGTAGATGCGACATATGAATACATATATACCCTTCACCCACACCCACATTTGAGCACTGCTCCATGGTATCCATCACCCACACTCACATTTGAAGTATCCCGGATACCCCCTGTCACGTCGTTATTTTAACGATTAAGATTTAGGTGAAGACGCGACTGGTTAAGTATTGACAAATGCCACGATGATAATGACGGCAAATGACAAGATGAAGTAAATAAGAAAATAAAACTTGAATGAGAATTCACTAATTTATTTAATATATTAGAATTAATCAATAAAGCACTAAATACAACAAGGATACGTTGTACGATTTGACAAGACTTCCAGAAGAAGAAGTTTTAGAGTCACATAGAAGAAAAAAAAACAGAAGAAAAAAGAGTTGATTATAATAGAACCAACTAACAGAGAAGAAAAGTAACAAGTTAATGGGAAAAAAAGAAAAATACAGTAAAAGTAAAGACGCGGGTAGTAGCTAGACAATAAGAATCAAGAAATTATATTGAGAAAATATATGTACAAGCATAATTACTGTCAGCACATAATACAGGTGACGTTGTGCCGTCACACCACCCCCTCTCTGCACCCATTCCGGGTATCCTTCATCCACACCCACAGCTAGCCCTTAGTCCCCCTCAACCCACACCCAATCCATCTTAAACTAAATCTAAATCTAAATCTAAATCTAAATTTATTTCTACTTACATAGGAGACTATGTATATATAAATAAAACTTAAACTATTCCTTGGTATTTGATATTGTAAGTATATATCTCTGGTTATATTCGAATTGAGATGGTGCAGTTGGAGCTCTATTTATATTCAAAGTATAACTGGGCATCTCATGACAAGTAGACGCACACTTACATCCATATAAAGATAGATTCAATTTCTTTCTTTCTTTCGCTGATTGCACATACACTAATAGTTTAGGTAGAATGCCTAATTATTGAAACTATAATCAGCCAAATATGTGCCAATAAAATTATATTTTCACGTTCACAAAACATCGTGAACTTTTATGAAGTTTCTCTCTCACAAACGGAGTTCCCTGTAATACTATCGCTTTCGTAGAGTTTTCAAAAACCTACTGAGTGATTTATAACGCAAAGAGCAAAAGGAGTTAAATTTTGTCATAACTATCTGCATTTGATCTATAATAGTGAACATTACCATCTAAAGAAACAAAGAGAAAGAATGATCTTGTATTAAGTTGACGGAGGTCTTTGATAGACGATAGAAATAATTTTCCATGCGTATAGATTTCAAACAACCGAATATCGGAAAATGGTCGTTCGCATGAACAATGGATACTGTGATCTTGTTGAAATAGATAATGCTGATTTTATGAGGAAGCTGTGCGTCGCTAGAATCAAGTCTAATCATGCGATTTGAATAGCAACATGCTAGTAGCATTCGAAATGGCTACTGAAAAAAGGATCAACCTTAATTCTAAGAATAGCCTGACTGTATCACTTAATGACAGTATTCCTTTTTATTTTGAAATGATTCAACTTTTGTACCTTGTTGAAATATATGATCAGCATTAACTCGACCTCAAATTTGGCAACACGTTCTCTCGATTGAATTGTAATACGATGTACTTCTAAATATAAATGTTTCCATATCAATTTAGTTAAGATAGATCGAGCTAGGATATAAATTTTCTGGTTTTATAATGCAACATCCTCAACTGAGCAATTGGTCATTCGATCAAGCATCAACAGCGCTTCAAAACCAATACCCTCGTGCTAAAGATGCCTGGCTAGAACATGACAAAGATAATGGGTAAAGTCAATCTACAGTATTTTCTAAAGGGAAAAAACGATTTCTCTCTTATTTATGTAACTAAAACATGTGTTTGTTGTTGTTATTTTTTTTATGTGACGAATAGGAAAAAAACCAATGACTTTCGTTCTCTGGCAATAGCATTGATTAAAGGCGCTAGTATTGGGTTATTAATCGGTGGCATATGTTTTGCTACTGTTCTCACACTCTGGTTAAGCACAACACCAAGTACGTTTGGATGTACCTAATTATCTCTTTTTCTTCATTGTCTTCTTTTGCTTATTTTTTTATCGTTAAATTGGCGTAGAACATTATCTCTATTGGATTTCGCTCTTGCTTAAGATTGATTATGGGATAGAAACATATTGACAATCAGTGTCCCTTTGATAAGCAATACATTATGCAATTTTGACCACAATCAAGTCCTACTTGTTTTTCTATGGGAATATCTAGATTTTTCAAATTTCAGTAGTAGGTTCAAACAAATCTGTGCATGACTCTAACAAGGGCTCTCCGTAAAATTTTGATTCAGTTATGATCGGATGCTCTCGAAGTAAGCAACAGTACTCTACTAGCATCGTTCTATACAATATTTTTTATCAAAAAATTTACGAATTTATCGTTAAAGTAGCTTCTGTCATCTTTTTTTCATTATACTTTTATTATTGATAGCTGATGACTACCTATATCAAATCTATCAAAATAGAGCGATGAAATCGAGCGTGAAATTTTGAGAATCAATGCTATTATATTGTTTGTGTTTTCATTGGATGGATGTAGACCAACCGAGAATTTTACGCGAAAAGATTAGACGTAATACTTCGCTATCCTTGACAATGGCTAATAATGCTTGATAACTTTATCAAAGCTAGAATAGCATAACTGAGGGCGTACATGAGAACGAAGATGGCGTGGACGAAGATAAGACCTACGTCCTAACACACACTCTTAAATAGCACTCAAATACTTGACTTATTCAAAAAACTTTGATTCAGTGACCACGTCTACGAAAGCCATCATCGCCACAACTACAACTGCAACAACAACAACTGCTACTACTTCAACTACAATAACAACAACTGCCACTACTTCAACTACGACCACAACAACTACAACTGCAACAACAACAACTGCCACTACTTCAACTACGACCACAACAACTACAAAAAATACAACAACAACTACAACTACATCAACTACGACAAAATAAACTACAACAATTACAACAACAACTACTACCACTGCTGGTAAGAAATATTTCCCCTCAAAAAATCTTGACCTAACTCCTGCTCTCTACTTTTAAAGTCAATTTTACTTATACATGCACAGAAAACTCAGCAGTTAACCTCATCTGCAGAAGTCCGATGGTACTCTATATTGTTGAAGGTTTCTATGGCGTTTTAAGTTGTTCCACCTGTTCATGCTCATATTGTATTTGCGCAGGTATGACGGTCACACAAACGGTGATGAATACATGTGAAAATCTTCAATCTTGCTCCTTTACTGCGGGCGATAGTTTTTTCAACGACCCATGTTATGGTTACGGCAAAACTTTTGTTCTTGTCTATAATTGTCTGTGAAAAATACAGCTACACGTTTCAATGAACAATGTTTTTGGGAACAATTTTTGTGGCTAGCGATGTGACTCGAGTCTATTGTAGTCAAGCATGAAGAATGTCTTTAAATGGACTAGAAAACGTTGAGAAAGAACATAGAATCTGATGATTCTACAGTTCATCAGTGTGTCGATATTGATGGCACGCTTCGATGATTCTCCTTCCTCTTCCTTATGTTCTCTTTCCATTGTTATAATATATCTCTTTCCTGTCTCTCTTCTATCTCTCTTCTATATATACGTGTGTTATGTATAAAGTTGTCACAATCTGGATATGTGAAGAAGCGAATAAACATCATTGCCGTGAGTGAGTGGTGGTAAGCTACTCCACCTCTATCCAGCCCAGGATGAACAATCCGATACCTGGATCCAACCGGACTCGATCGAATTTCGATCGATTCCTGCAGGATTCTAAACAAATCTGGGTTGCGGACCCACTCACGGAACCCTAGTGTTGGAATCCGACTTCTAAAATTCCTATCGAATTCGGTTATTGGATTTGGTCGGATGTTCACCGGATTCCAACGCTAGGGATCCGTTAGAAGTTCCTCAACCAGGAATCTCATGGGACTTTGTCGGCTCGTCGGATTTTATAAGATCCGATCGGATTCGGTATCGGATTCATTCACCTGGGAGTTTGTCTTAATATATCAACTAGCTAGAGTCGTATTTATCGTTACAATCTGCTCCACCAATCAGCCGATTTGAATAGTACTTTTCTCATTGCTTCTTCTATTTGGAGAAGATGGTGTCAGAATCTTGCCAATTTTCAGGTATCCATATGATTTTTTTATTTCAATCATAGCTCAATCATTTTTAACTGAATAAGATAGTTCCGAACAAAGACAGATGAAATGTCATTGATAATATAATCCGACTTCAGTATAATTATGCAGATGCCATCAACTCTTCGGCTATCTAAATGAGAGTTGAGAAGTTTTATTTCACGATAATCTTTTTAAGATGTGATATATGGGTTGAATATTTCGTGAATTATTATGATGTTTATCCAACCTTTCTTAGTTGTCCGACTGAAATACGAAAAATCATTAGGATTTATTACTAAATGACATATGGAATGTTTGAACCAATACCGCATGAGGGTGTGGGTAAATACAGAGAATCTTTACAATCCACACCCTTCTTTTTTCATACATTTAAAATATAATAGTAGGATAGAGGAAGAAAGTAAACAGGCGATAAGTCCTACCAGCATCATCGTTTTGCCGTCCCACTATGATATTTTCAATGTATAGAAAAAAAAATAGCTAAGAAAAACAAAATAGTCTGAAGAATGTGCCAACGTTGTCGAAACGTTACGAAAACGAAAATCTAATAAATTCAAATAGAGATCGTCGATAAGTAAGAGAATAATTAAATTTAAACAGTTATATTGTTTTCGATTTAAAATTTTTCATCCTTAAACGGTTAGTCTAACTTTTTTACAATGAAAATATTTTTCTGGAAATCAGCTTTGAAAGCAATACGACCTTGCATAGAACGATTAACATGCAGTGATGATCACATGCCTTTTTTTCTTTGACTGCTTGACAGATGGTTCCGATCTCATCAAGGTTAGATACATTGCAGAGTGCAGAATATAAAAAGAAGAGAAGGGGTAGCGTTAGAGAAAAAATAATAATAACGATGCGGCCAACGAACATATTACTATTGCTGATGTTAAAGTAAGTAATATTCTGTAATTTCGATAGAATTATATAATCAGGTGGTTGCTTTTAGCCTTTTAACTTATGTCTTCTATTCTCTATGTTATCATCTACCTATTGTCTCTTAGTGTATTAGTTGACATCAACGCTCAGACATGCAAAGATGCCGTTCAATACGAACAATGTTCATCGAACATTGGATGTGGCTGCCTTCCATTGATAAATACAGACAATAGTAGTATCTGTGCTTTTCTTCATATAAAATGTTCTGAATTGAGTTCGTGTGCCAACAATAACCGAACATGCTACAAACCTGATCATTTATGTGTGAAACATTCACGGTGTCATAGTGCTCCACTGTGCTATCCAGCGGACATGACCATTCAAGCTTTGTGTCCACCATCGACAACAAGTAGGCAATGAGGACAAAGAATTTCTGCTGTTTGTCTCTTTATCTTCTAAGTAGTTTCACCGCCAGTGGTGCCCGATGATGGCATTTGTGCGAATGCGACTTGGGACCCAAATGGAGTGACTGTAGCTGGAGGCAATGGAGAGGGGTCCGAGTTGAATCAACTTCGGTATCCTTGGGGATTCTTTGTGGATGACGATGCTGCCGTTTATGTTGCTGACACTTGGAACTTCAGAGTGATTGTATGGGCGTTGACTTATTCTCATATGTCATGTCGTCAATTATTTCGGCACTGATAAAAGTTTTTTTTCTAACAGAAAATTGACAACATTTTTGAATATTTTACGCCTGGCGCATCCAGTGGTAGAGTGGTGGCTGGTGGTAATGGGAACGGACAGCAGCCTAACCAGCTAAAATATGCTGCATCAATCATATATTATGTTGTACTATGTGTACATAGCTACAGTATCTAAAATGGGTCGTAATGAATAATACAAAGGATACAGCATATGATTTTTGAACTGTGCTCTGACGAAAATTGTAATTGATAAGAATGGAACTATGTTTATTTGCGATCGTGATAATAAGCGAGTTCAGCGATGGTTTAAAGGTGCCAATCAAGGCGAGACAATTATTTCGAATATCTCTTGCTGGGGGCTGGCGATGGACAATAAAGAATCGTTGTATATATCTGACCTTGATAAGCATCAAATAATGAAACTGCCTAGTAATCAGATAGTTGCTGGTGGATACGGACAAGGACATGCATTGAATCAGCTCTGGGAACCTATCGATATATTTATTGATCAGAATCAGTCAGTTTTTGTCGCCGATTTTTCGAATGATCGTGTATTGAAGTGGCCAGTCGGCGCGAAAGAAGGCATTGTTGTAGCTGGTGGAAACGGACAGGGTGAGGGCATCAATCAATTGGATGGAATAAAATATTCAAGAATGATGTTATTTCCTAGAATAGTAAATCATCATTTTAACGGATAAGGCGAACTTCGTAGATATTGAAATATTCGTCCCCGTTCTGTTGTTATTGACCAAATGGGTACCGTTTATGTTGCCGACAGTATAAATCACCGCATCATGCGTTGGTTTAAAGGCTCGAAGTCAGGTAATGTTATTATTGGTGGGCGGGGTATAGGTAGTGGAACAGATCAACTAGCGTATCCGGAGGACTTGCAATTCGACCGGCAAGGAAACTTGTATGTAGTTGACCTTAATAATAATCGCATTCAAATGTTCACTATTGACAAAAGTTCATGTGTCAAAGGTACGTGTGAAACATTACTATTATTCGAACGATCAACATTTTTATATCAATCTTCTTCCTGTAGGTTCGACTTAGAATAAAGTTCATATTTGCTATTAAAAACTAAAAAATAATGCATATAAAGTGAGTTTATCAATGTGCCTATCTCATTGTTTGGATTTTTTTACGGCGATCAATAAATTTCATCGATGGCTCTTCACTTTATTAAGAGTGACGAGATTCCCTATTCTCGTAATTTTTTATATGTTCTATAACTATAGGGCACTACGTTACGCGTAACTTGAATTATTTTTCATCTATCGATGCTTGTGCCAATATATTGCATTTAAAAATAATTTTCTGATAGGAATCACAATGGCGTCGAACTTGAAGATATGCTTCAAAGGAGGGGTCGCATTATAAATGAGATCGACCCATTGTATTTTTGATTATAATCTACTATCGATAACATACAGGATGCGAGAGTAAATCGTGGCGAAAAATGTCATAGTAAAATTTAATATCTTTATTTACATCTTATACACTATCACCATACTCCAATAATGGCACACAGTCATCCTAGACATGTGACCAAAGATCGACGACTCATAAAGCTTAAATTGTTACTAGAACCTCAACAGATATCTCATTCGGCAGCGCTTAGAAGATACTACAAACATGAATTGTTTCCACATTAAAAACGATGGCAACCCGGATTGTGTGTGGATGAAGATGTTATGGTTCTTGTTATCCATCCGCACCCTCAAGAGATAATGCATCTGATGTTAAATAACTTGGAATAAAAAGTACAAATATTAGCAATGTTATTTCATAGTTACTATTTATATTTAATAAAGGAATTATTAAGGGAGACAAGAGAAACCTATCAAATATCTTGAAATCCATTCATTCAGAAATTTCCGATGAAAAAGAATTAATATTAATGATAAATTAATTTAATTGAAATAAAAAGAACTGTTATTATCGATGATATAAATTTTATTAATAAATCAAAAATCAATTTGGACTGATACGTACAGAAACAATATCTACTAATGATTTTTCATTTTTCAGTCAGTGTTTCATTAATCAAGTTCAACAAGTAAATCATTAAAAATAAATTATTAAACATTGACGGTTTGTATGAGTGTTCTCTTCAAGACACCCATGCACACACACACACCAAGTCACAACTAATCGTGACTTCTACTATGAAGAATGTTTGCTACAATGTACATAGAAAAGTGTAGATGAAAACTTCTGCTCTTCGATCAAATATGAATCATTGTTCGATGTAAAAGTGTATAGATGAATGAATTACTGAAAATTTTCATTATTGACTGCGACTTGTGAAATATGAAAGCGAAGAAAGGAAAGAAAAAAGACGAAAAAAATTGTAAAGTGTGCTGCAGTGAAAATCGTAACTTAAGAGAAGCAAAGTAAGAGAAATCGGAGTATCCGTACACTTTTTTCAGTTCCATTGCTTGCCACACGACTGAAAATTTGTTTGCTTCTGATCAAGAACACAATTTTTTATTAAAGTGTGTTCAAATAATACGATATCTGGAATAAATGATTCAAAGCAACATTGTCAGGTGAATGGAAGCAAGAATCATTCATCACAAGATGTCTTTATTTTCGTATTTTCTCAATTAGATTGTACTTAAAATTAAAAATTATCTATTGTTTTCACACAGTTGAAATCTTAGTTTAGAACATCGAAATTAGATTCGATCACAAAAATCACCAGGTAATATTTGTTTGAATGAAAAACGTCTTTCAAAGATGATACAAATGTACATGTCAAATTTTCAGAATTCTATTCAACAACACTGGAATCGTTCATTCAGAGGCCATTTTGATTTCAACCTTCATAAATAATTTCATTGTCAAACGAGTCGAGAAATGGGTCAACGTTTGTCAAGTGTGGATACGCAAATTTTTGATTTTACGAATCCTAATCGTTCTACTCACAGTTCACTCACGAATATATCTGTTAGCGATCCGGATGATGTCAGTTTATTGTTATCGAAAACATTTGCTCTTGATGCGATTAACGATGATCATCAAATATCCGATTTGGAGCAACAATGGATGAAACAAATTCAAAATAACTTATCTCTATTAACGAACATATCCGAATTAGAAAAAATCAATAAACTATTTAGTACAAGTATCATGATGACAATTGCCACTGACTACAGACAAATAATACAAGAAATAAAGGAACTTCTCGAACAGGAGAATCGATTAAAGGTATCTTTGACCACAAATATGGAAAGACACACAAAAGGAATGGGCATTCATGATGACAGTAGACAACAGCAGCAGCAAACTACAGAATCGGATAATCAACATTCATCATTTACATTCAAAATCTCCTCCCTATTGAAATCCGCAGAAAGAAACGTTTCAACAGCAATTCATCATGCATACGAAAAACTCCCAATTAGACCGTCATCATGGTCGGATAATGATCATTTTGTATTCGAACCAAACAAATATCAGATCCATGAGTCGAGCCAGGCAAATTATCTAATTAATAAACGACAAATTGAGAAAATTCTATTGAACTTTTCAAAGGCCACTACATCATTTAGCGACATTTTATTTGCTCTAAATCAATTGATATTCGATACAAACAATGTTTATGACGTACGAGATGTATTTATACGATTGAATAACAATTTCACGACAGTTCGTGATGAATGGGAATTTAATGCGAATTCAACAACTGATGAATTCAACCAAACAACAGGTAACTATCTTGCACATAGATTTCTAATAATCTTGACTGAAACTATTTCACTTGGCTGAAATTCACTTCGTACGAAAGAAAAAAAAGCATTGGTTTGAATGTGAATGTCGATCATTTGCAATGATGTTCTCTATTCCAAAAAAAACAGTAGCGGGCATCTAAGTGACTAGTTTAAAATCACTTCTAGTTCATGGTAATCATTAATATACAAAAGCAGGAAGACACTTTATTTCCTTCTGATCAATCGGCTCAAGAAAAGCTATAATGAACTCAAATATGTTGACGAATCGGATTCTTGTTCTTTTTTTTTTAAACTATTTGTTTAGTTGTCCCACATATGACGAGTGTGAGTCTTCTTTTTGTTCAGAATTCCAACTGCACTCCATGCAACAATATTCCCGTGCGCATCCCAGCACTGGATCATTACAGTGAGCACTATGAAAAGTAGCAAACTTAGGGATGTGCAGTGTCGCTTTACTGAGCACTGGCTACACCGACAGCGTGCTCAGTGGAGCACTGATTTCACTGACGCCGACTTCACTGAAGCACCGAGTGTCAGTGATAACTGAAGTTCGGTACACTGACCGCACCGACAACTTGTGATTGAGGGTGTGGGTGTGGGTGTTGGTATAGATCGAAAGAAGATCCACACCCATAGCGGCAACAATAAGTGATGTAATCCATCGAATTTTGTCGTATAATTTAAAACTATAGATGGTTCAAGGCTGATATCCTTGGCAAAGATAGAGGTGCGTATTTCACTATAATCTATTGTAAGCTACTATTAAAATTTGCAAAGATGCATACTTTAACGGATGCAGTGGCTGAGTGTTGCATTGAATACCGATATCGGTGCGGTCAGTGTACCGAACTTCAGTGATCACTGACACTCAGTGCTTCACTAAGCACACTGTCGGTGATGTCAACCCCAGTTTTTCAGTATTTACACTGGCACTGCACATCCATAAGTACACTCTAAACACAATTTCTTATACTACCGAATCTTCTAAAGTTGGGGTGTGGATGTGAGCTAAATCTTTTGTTTAATGAATGCTCACATTCATACCCCCACACCCTTGAGTTAATCACATTTTCTGTTGTCTTTTACTTTCTATTTTGACGTAAACATCCAAATCCCTGAGTCCAGAAACAACATTTATCACATACGTAGAATCCAACAGTATCACATGTTTATAATAGTGTGAATATACATAAGGCGAAATCTGCACTATATATTTTTAGACCCAAATTGGTCAAATCCATTAGACTATTTAATATCGATTGGAGCATTTCCAAACAACGAACTAAACGCTTTAAACGATCAAAAGTTCACCGGACAATTTATTTCCATTTTTATTTTTACTCACATCGATTTTGATAACACAATTCATGCTAAGAAACGGTTCGAATCTGGTTCAATGTATCACTCGATATCATTCGAATTCCATCCTTATACATTCAAACAACTATTTCACATCATTGAACAATTAACATTATTGCCTAAAGAAAATTTGAACGAAAATTTCATTAACATTCTTATGATTTGTTTACGATTATTTACAAATCATTTGAAGTTTTTATCCGCTATGACAATCGATTTTGATCAAAATTTATTAAAAGCAAATGTTGATATTAAAAATCACCTAGAACTCGATCATTCAAGTCAAACAAAAAGAATCAATTTGAGTGATTTCGCTACCAATGATGAGCTACAAAAATGGCTTCATCTCTTACTAACTTTAGTTTGCATTGAAAATAAAACACTAGAGGAAAATATCATCTGTAAAGAAGCATCAAAAGCAATTATCTATATTCTCGATAAATATTCTTCTTCATTTATGAAAAAATTAGCATTTATTCATAAATATATTATCGAGAATGAACATGATTTCTTAATTGAAAAATTATTAATCGAATTGAACAGTACTTTAACATTACTGAGTTGGATTAAAGTTCTATGCGAGGATGACGATAGTAAAAGAGAGACGCCAATAGCATTTACTATTTTATATTCATTTATTAACTTTTATTTGAATTCACCACGAGATAACAAAACACAGAAAATGCATCAAATATTACAAAGGTTTCAACAGCTGCTCTTCAGCCGATTGATACCGGAATATCGAATCAAATCTATGGAAAATATTGATGATTCGACTGATAAATTTACATTATCAACAGTTTCTCTCATTATTAAATATATTACACATATATTGGTGAATTCCAATGGTAAATTGGTTATTGTTAACGAACTACTGAATTCGATTCTCGTCGGTTTGTGTTTAATCATCGAACCAGAGTTTCAATTGAATTTCACAATAATTCAGCAAATATTATCGACTCTTCTACCTTTATTAGCCGACTTCATAATGCAAAATATGATGAATGAAGAATCTACACAAACATATCTGCATTACAATTATTGGCTATTAAGTAGAATGAGTCATGCCTTAATCAACGGTCCACTACAGGATCCATTAGAAATGAAATACAACGAGAAATTACAATCACCTTTGTTTGCTGGTGGATGTGAACAAAATCCTATCGGAAATAATCAATATATGTTGAATTTATTTGAATCGAACATTGCTATTTACAGTCAATTCAAATTTACCGATTATCAACAACAATCAAAATCCGACCAAGAATTTTTAATGTCAATCTATAACAATACAAATCCGTGCACACAATTAATAACAAAAATGAAAATTTACTTGAAGGATAAACAATCTCCCGTACAAAAATCAATCGAACCACAAGCCAATGAAGCATGCGCAGCATTGTTTGCTGTCTATTTAAAACATTATCGTCGAATAAATTTAGCTCAATACGAACTACTAACCCTAATGGACAATCGCAAACCGCATAGTAAACTATTAGCAATTTTTGAATATGCTAATCGTATTCAAACATTATTTGCTAGGACAAGAGGACAAGGAAAGGATTGTAATGAACTTTATGATCGAATTCAAATCAAAACATATTTTCTACTAACATCTGTCAAAGAAAGTCATTTGATTTCAACTATTGATATTGAAAACGAGCTAAAGGCAGTCGACAACAACGACAAACGTAAAGGCTTGAAATTCAAGCGTTTATATTCAAAATGGGAAATTGAGAGAAAATCAGTTCGAGCGGTTCGCAATACTCTACACGCATGTATTCGATTAAAACAACTAATGCTAACTAAGAGAAAAGTCATCGAACAGAAGCAAGACAATGAAAATATTTTACATCAAGCTATTGCTACTTATGTCTATGGAGATATTTCAAATGATGATAAAAAATCTGAATCAAATGATCTTATTCGATGTATGTCTCAACAGTATGAACGAGCAATAATTAGACTTATTGCCTATCGATTTGTTCAGAAATTCGCCCAGAAAACGTTAGAGATTGAAAATAATCATTCTATTCGAAATCTTCTAACAATTTATTTATCACAATTGAGAAAAACACATATCGAATGGACGTATTTAGAAAGTATACCAGCAATTAATCATTATTTGAAAGAAGAAATCAAAGTTAGTTATTATTTAATTGTTGAAACGATTCTTTCCTACGTATTAGAATCGCTCACCATTGAACAAACGATCTTAATACAAACTATGTTCTATTTACTTAATTTACCCTACACACCAGAAGATACTTATTATATATTTGATTGCGGACTTCTCGCAAAGTTATTTAAATCGTTTGTTAGCTTTGTTAATAGAACAAATCGAACGATTTCGCTTGAGATAAAATTAACCGGATACAATTGGTTTCGATTGTATGTCACGAAATTGTGTAAAAATTTAGAAATCGAAGAACTGAAAATCGTAACGAATTTGCATGGTGATCAAAAGCGAGAGTTTATTTTCCATGAATTAATTTTAAACGAATTAACGACACTAAAACAACAATTATCAAGCAATACTGAAGACATGATCCTAGATGATACTGAATCTAAACGCATTTCATTTCATAACAGTGCTTTGGAATGGTTCGTAGAAGTGAAAGCAAAAAGTAATTTATCATCGAATTTCGAAATTGAACTCTGCATAAAACAATGGTTAATGTTTCTACTAAGATGTGTTCATTCCTATGAACATGTACGATATTGTTGTGCCACGAAAGATTATATCGAGGAATTATTGTTCATCTATCGAAATAGTAAAAATCCGGCTACAAGTTTACTTGCATTGAAAATTTTACGAAAATTAATTCCGTTTCTCCGAGAAAAATCAAACGAAACATGTCAAACTATGATAAAAGATTTTTTAAATCATATTTTATTTTCGATCGGCCATAGTTTTATTTCACGAAGCATCATGCCTGATCTTGTTACTGAATTAATCTATATTTATCGGACAATAATTTCTCTTAAATCACCGTGGCAAAGTATGGCAACACAACTGATTTTTGATACATGCACATTAAGTTGGAAATCATTGGAATCGATCGATATGAATAATACTTTAGGATTACTGTGTATATTTGGCGGATACATTCACCCTTACTGTTTAGGCGCAATAGTACAAGTCTATATTGTTGATGAAATGAACCGTGAAACTCAATTCGCAGTCATCATTGATATTGATCAGAAGGCTCGTGATTTCGGTACGAGAGATACGAAGCCTTATTTTATTCAATATATTGAAACGAACAAAACAGAATGGGTTAATGCTGATAAATTACGAATTGAGGTCGATATTCTTCCACCAAATCTTCTTGATTTACCAAATGCAAATGAATTGATCGATTTAGTATTTGATTCATTAGCATATTTCATAAAAATTGAAACGTCAATTATTGAACCATTACTATTATTAGAATTAAAACGGCGATCTATTTCTGCTCTATATCGAATCTTAATCAATAAAGAACTTGTCGAAATTTTCATGCAAAAATCTTATGCTAACATTCTTGTTAAATTATCAACATTGAATTTATCAGCAAAAACTCATTCGCAACCAATGGATTTGCGACTTTCGAATAAACAACATTTAGAACAATACTGTTTAAGTTTAGATCGATGTAAATATTTGAAACAAATAGTTGACGATATCAGTATAGATGCGAACAAGGATGTTTCATTTACGATTTGGAATGATATTCGATTCACCACATGGAAGTCGGTTGCAACAAAAAGCGATATTAAACAATTAAAACGAGTTCGAATTGGAAATGATGAAATTAAAATCGTGCCCATGCCATTACAAAATGATAGTCAATGGTTTTTAGAAGAATGTGGCGCGAGAGATCGTTTTCCGGGACGAATATATCTGATTTCGAAAAATTCTAATACAATCATGACAACATTTATTGTCGATAATCTAAAGTTGAGTGAAGGCAATTGGTACTATTGTGTTCGATTACTTGAAAGTAATTTTATTCAAATTGGCTGGGCAACAACTGGATTCAATCCGAATAATACGCTGGGGATTGGAAATGATCAATATTCATGGTCATATGGCGGAGCTCAAGGAAATATTTATCATAATGGGCAATATTCGTTTGAAGTTGAAAATGTTCGTTGGACTACAAATGATGTGTGCGGTTGTGGTATTGAAATTAATGGTGATCGTATACGAATTAAGTATTGGTTAAATGGATCTTTCTTAGGAACGGCATTTTTACATCGATTCCCAATTGGTTCAACAACAACACTATGTGATATGTTACCAAACGGATGTAACACAAATTACTTTCCTGGTGTTAGTTTAAAAGTCACTGATGAGTCCATTTTGAGTTCTTGCGAATTTATATTCAATCCAGAAGATATGCTAGAATGTCCATTGCCAGAAGGTTATAAGCCGTTGATAGTACCGAAATTAGACAACATCGTTTCTTATCCTTACAGTGCTTATTTAATTGCTGATCATGCTCATGATAATATTTATACGACACGACATGATAGAACAACGACATTTCTACGTGATTTTATTAATGGTCAGCATCTTGAAACTACATTTACTGTTGATGACCGCCAATTAATATTACCAAAGTACAGTAGCGGTTTTCCATTAATTGTCGATTGTCATGAATCGTGGACATTAAGTTTTGATTTTCGAATTTTAACTCAACACAAAATTCCCGATCTTATACTAGCGGCATTTGATTTGTTGGCTATATTTTCAATTCGAATACCAACTAGCAAAGTCAATGATAAAACACGAGTGGCAATCGTCTTTGATTCAAACACAAGACAAATAAAGCTCTACATCAATAATGAATGTCGATCAATTGAATGTCCAGCATTGTTAGACTTTAATATTCATATTTTACCGACCGTAAATGCTGAACTGGAGAATCTAGCCATATGGAAATATGCTCTATCGAAAGAACATATTCGCCGTTTATTTACTTCGGGTTTGTCTTACGTCGTCAGGGATTATCATCGACTAGATTACTATCGAAGACGTGCAAAGACATTTACATTTACAGATAAACAACAGTATTTTCTCGATGAATCCCTCGTTCCATTGAACGAACCATTCGATGAAAATAAATGGACAAAGCGAATGCATGAAATCGATGATGATGATGATGAGTGGAAATATTTCAAAACAATCGATGAGACCAATCAATCAGCAATAGAATTATTCGGGAATAAAACATATCTCGTTCTAAATAAATCTATCAATACATGGTTCGAATATACACTTATTCTTGATATTAATATTGCCAATTCACCAGCCATAAACGAACAATTGACATTAATAACATTAAATTCACAATCGACAATTTACTTAACATACGATTGTCATATTTGTCTATCGATTAGTAGTGACACACATATGCAAAGTGAATCGATATTAGACTTGAAGGATTATGTACGTTTGCTTGTTTCTGTTCAACAAAAATCGATGAAAATTTATGCAAATGGAATTTTACTACTCGATGTTAATGTTGACGACGATCAATTAATACTAAACGACAAACATATTGACCTATTTCGAGAACACGATCTGACAAAAAACACTACCGCTAGTGACACACTTCGCATCGTTTGCAAATCAATCACTGTTTTGAATAAAGCAACGAACGATATCGATGAAAGAATGAAATCATCGAACTATTCATTAGAAATTTTAGTTGCACCGCCTTATTCGATCATCGTACCGAGTCTAGTTGACATTGGATACGATACATTTATGATTAGAGACATCGTACAAGCAAATAGGACGCTGAACATTCAATCGATTGATGCTGTTCTTCGTGACATGCAAAATGAATTGTTCACGATTGACGATGAAAAACGATTAAAATATCAAAAAAATATTTTATCAAAATTAAGTCCATCGATCGACAAAGAAATGTTGAAAAGTTTCCTTCCGTTGTCCGAATTCGATGCTGATGACAACATTTCTAATCTTACTGAAGTGATGTTGCTACATTGGAACGAAATTCAATCTCGATCAACTGAAGAATCTGCTAATACGAACTGGTTTTATCAGGCTGTTCAACGATTGAATATCGGTGGCAATCTTATTGAATGGATTCGCGATAAATCAACCACAGAAACCGAAGAAGCGGATTCTAATCATTCTCTAATCGATTTAGCTCGACCCGTTGAAGAACAAACTATTACGATTCATGACACTCAAGATGACTGCAAACGAATTTCAAGATCAATTCAGTACTCCCATCAACAGATATCACATCAACAATATTTCGATTCACGTCTTTCGTGTGAACATGAATTGATATCAATTTATGCCCATTATACAATTTTGAATGTGTTAAAAGTTTGGTCGAATGATGGCTCAAGTATATTTCCATGGGAGAAATTCAGCGATTGTGCTTTCATTGTTACTCTACTGAGATTATTTGATTATCATTACAATTACACACGTTTATACACGGACGAAGCTATTGATCGAATGACTTTATTAGTTGTAACGATTCTTAGAGTTGAAACAAACGAATTACTCAAATATCACACAATGACCTATGATGATATAGTGAAAAATGTATTAAAAGAAAAAGCTCCACAACTTTATCATTTACAAAAGGATACTATTGTTCAATTGATTCAATTTCTATCGAACCGACAATTGTTATACTATGATTATGAGAATAAATCCACAATGATTAAACAACCGAATTTTAAGTTTATTCTTAAACTTATGAATATGTTTCTTCAATTGTTAACAGAGAAATCACCGATGAAACAACATGAAATCGATTTTCTTCTTCCCATTTTATTTCCAGATGTTCTAATCAATTTATTGTTCGATATTTTTCTTTTAAGTTCAAGACATCAATCGAAAATCGCTATTCTTCATTTATTTTTCACGTAAGTTCGGACGATTTAAAGATACTAGAGATCATTTAAAAAATCGTACTAAAATTTGATGTCGGTATGTTTCAGGTTGCTTAAAACTAGCAAGAATTTCAATTTAAGCCGACATATTCTACAGTTTCTATTTCATTTATTTGTTGATTTGCAACCAAATCCGACATTAGTACATAGTCGACTAATGAAAGCATTTCAAATTACTTTTATGGATTTGATGTTTTTGTTATGCCAAAGGCAAAAAAATCGATCGTTGACAACAAATCAAACAGTTGTTTCATTCGAATTTGATTTTTCTCAATTTTCTCAAAATTTTCATCGGATATTAACAACAATCGATGTGATAAATGCCTTAACTGATAGAACAAAGCAAGCATCATTTCCTGATGCATTCCTACAAGAATCACCTGCTTTATTGGGAAATGATTATCAATTGACAAAAGACGAAATTGAACAATCAAATAGCCATTTCGATATTATTGCTGATCGACAACTAATTCATTTTATGAATAATCATTCATTGATCAATAGTTCATTTATTGATTTCATTAACAATCTGCCAACAGAATCGTTACCCGATCCGACCTACTACAAAGTCTATCCATCTCTGTGGCACATTTCAGCTAACTTGATTCGCATACGTGCGAAACTTTTCTATCAATTTAGTTTATATTTCGAAGAAGTCGTATCAATGATCGATTTAAATCTCTCGCCAGGACAAAGTATTCTAATCGATGAACTGCAAACAGGAAGAGTCTATATGTTATATCGAATGAAATTTCAATTTTTCAACAATTCTTTAGTCATTACTCAATTGGCGTCCGATGATAGTTTACCTGTAGTTAATTTTGATCCAGTTCGAGCAAGTTCTAATACTAATCATGGACGAAATACAATGTTCTATCAAGCCTACGAACAGTTGTATAGTAATGCACATTTAACATTTCGAAAATTGAATGATCGTTTATGGCGCGCACAGTATCTTGGCATGCGTAGTTGTGATCAAGGTGGACCCTATCGTGATTCTATATCATGTATTTCTTCTGATATTTGTAGTGCACGGTTACCATTATTTGTTCTATGTCCAAATGGACGAACCAATAGTGGATTGAATCAGGATCGTTGGATTCCGAATGTCTATCCGCCGAATAAACCAATTTCAAATCGAACTAAAAAACAATATCAATTTATTGGACAATTAATGGGCATGGCTATAAGAAAGAAACATTATTTGGATTTGAAATTTCCAAGTTTATTATGGAAGCAATTAGTTAGAGATCAAGTCACAATAGAAGATATTGAAGCAATCGATGCGCAAAGTTTTACATTGATTAATGAAATTGAAAAGTGTATTCAGCAAAGCAATCAAGTAAGTGCTACCGAGTGTGACATCAATGATTTACTCAGTAGTATTTTGGATGAAATTCGATTTGAAGTTGTTAGCTCAGCAGGACAAACGTTTGAACTTATCCCGGGCGGTAAAGATATCCCGATAACGGGTAATAATTTCAAAGAATATTGTACACGTTATCGAGACTATCGTCTACATGAATTTGATCGACAAATTGAATTTATTCGGCAAGGTTTATACAGTGTTGTCCCTGGTTATTTTTTAAGTTTATTCACAATTGTGGAACTCGAAGAAGCTGTATGTGGAAAGGCTAGAATAGATATTGAATTATTAAAACAACATACGACCTATGGAGGTCGCTACACTCCAAATTCACTGTGTATTCAACGATTTTGGACAGTGCTTGCTGAGATGTTCAATGAAGAACAGCAGAAATTATTTTTGAAATTTGTCTCGGGACGATGTACATTACCAAGATATCACGATGAGTTTAAATCGGAATTTCGAATCGATCCATATAATGTTTCTAATGCATCGACAGATTCAACACTTCCACGTACGTAGAATCTATATATTCAACATACCTATATGATATGATGGCATATTTGAAAAGAGCGAATTTAAGTTTTCAGACTAATTTATACGATAAGTTTTTTTTTATTTTTCTGTTTTAGGGTCACATACATGTAGTTTTGTTCTTGATTTACCTGCATATTCATCAGTTGATGTCATGTATAATCGTTTAAACTATGCTATTACTTATTGTTCAAGTATTGATGGTGACAACACCATGAACGAAGCTCCTGCTCCAAATGATGCCGATTCGGATTGGAGTGACGACGATTGACAATAAGATCCATACTGGCAGCAGCTTGACGTATAGTTTGTTCTTTTTTTAAAATCTGACTATTCAGAAATAAATTAAAAGTTGCAGCTGTCACTTAGAAATACTTGCTACTGTGCACCTGGGGATGAGGTAGTCCTAAAAGAAAACTTTCTGCTTCTTAGAATCTCTGAAAATACAGACTATCAAATGAGATGAAAGAAAAACTAGATGGTATCCGAGTTTCACTCGTATACGAAATGCGATGCAAATAGGGGTGTCGCGTTCCCGAGAATGCGAACGGATACTCTACAAAAATGAATAGACACTTCGGTTCTTTTACGAGGAATTAAAAAACTTAGATTGATATGTATTCCCCTGTGTAGGAACAGAACGCTGACACCCATAGTCGGCAACTATGGATTCCAACAGCTTGCAAGTATCTGACAAAATAATAAAATAAATAGGACTTCGCGTATGTTGACCTTTACATATGTTTCTACTTTTCTCTCTTAACACATCGATGAATACTCATCTCAACATTAACACATCCTCTTCAATATTAGACGCTAATTTAAAGTCAGAAACATTCATACCAACAACAAAAAAAATCTACAAGATAAATATTTCCGTTATTTACTATTTCTTATGAAATACACAATCCCACCTATTCGATGCCATTCTCTAGAACTTTCTAATGATTAAATTTTGATACATACTATCGGTTCTGTCAATGTATTGTAAAAGAGTATCGTTGAAAGCAAGAGCACCTATACAGATATTCTGCATGTTCTATTTATTTATAAACAAAACTAAAAGTTTTAAAATACTACGTACTTGATGATTTTTGATAAATCAAACAAACTATTGAATCCATATAATCTGTCATGTTATTTTTCTATGTTTACTTGAATATATAGGGCTGCACACTACAAAGTAGTTCTCGTTATGTTTCATCACAAAAAAAATTAAGTTTCTTTATGGCTATCATTTGCACAAAACTACTATCAGTGATCTGTCATGGCTACGTGGACGCATCTTGAATACAATTACTATTTTTTCAGATAGAGAATCAATGTTATGTTCTTTTACATGCATACCCTAATCCACTCTCTCCCGACAACTCCCCAGGGCGTCCCCGCCAAATGGCGAAATCCCTGGGGACTCCCTGAGGATTCTTCTAGGGAGAACTGACTCCACATTTGTTTGCCTTGGAACCAAGGTAAGATATTAGTTTGATGTTCGGGATACACGACCTAAAATTTTGATTAAAATCATCATATTTGTCATGTATATGTTTGAACCTTCCTGGTGTGTTTGCATAGACGTACTTCTTCAGACTAGCACATCACTTGATGAGTTCTTGATATCGATCATATAGAAGGTATCCAACTAATCGATGAACAATCATTTACGATAAATCAATTACATCAAGCTATTCTCAATCCACAGGGAGATAGAATGTTAAATAATTACAATCCATTGGCAGAATTATTATCACCATAATCACAAAGTGCGAAAATTTATATTCGTGTCTCTTCATTGACAGCATCTGACTTCATGTTTTTCGATTTCAAAGATACAGAGATTTTCTTAACCAGTCATTAAAATATTTCCCATTAATATATCGTTGAATAGAGCAACGATTATTCATTCTACTGATTAATCCAATCTTAATCTACTTTAGTTGTCTGATTTTATAGATAAATTTGAAATGATGCGAAAAGTATCGAAAAGCTAGTACCCAGGTTGATCAAAACGGACTCGTTTACGGTTTGTTTATCGACGGCAAACGATGTGAAAACGGTATATTTACGGGAGTAAATAGGCCGTATTTGCCCGTAATACGGCACCGTAAACGGCACTGAATTTTCATGGTTTATGGCTATTTATGCTCGGTACTCTCATGATCATACGGTCCGTATTACTGCGCCAGATATTACGCAAACTTTTGCCCGTAAAATAGTCGTAAGGTAACCGTGAACGACCGTATACGGACCGTACTGTTCGACCTGGGTAGTGAAAAAGAATTGAATATTTCAGCAGTAAAATTTTATTTTCTTCTCCTATGCAAAATAGTTTTTTCTGAATGAAATATTTACATGTAAAACTTGCATTTAACAAAAGTAATTTATCTTATAAGAGAAATGTGAAAATAAAACGTGAATTATATCACCGATACGAAAATACTTCAACATTAGAGTGCAAGATTCTCATTGAAGTTTACAATTAGAGCGAATAAAATTTTATTGTAATGCTATGAATTAAACGCGCAAATTTTATAAGTCACCTACTTTTAAAGAATGGATATTCTAACTACTGTTCATGGCTTGTATCCGAGTAAATATTTATACAAGGTGATGATAGTACTTAGGTTTATTATACGCCTTCCAAGTAGTTTGGAAACTTTTATTGCATTGCATTTTTTGGGAAGTATTCAACACAAGAGAGTTACAATTAACTATTTTGCTTAGTGGAAATTCTATATTATTTGAAGGACCATGTCAGACTGCACTGCTATGTTTTTTCTGTTACACATCTGTTTTCTATACGCAGATTAGCATAATGCCAAAACTTTACACAATTTATTTTAGAAATTACTAGTTCGTGTTTTCTTTTGAATTCCACAAAATCTCCTCAAAATACTATTGGCTATGATAGTTAGAAAGGTTCGAAGTTCTCACTATGAGCACTTATTTTCGATTGTTTATTTATCTTCAATTTAGAATTTCTCTAAAGTAGAGATCTGCAGTGTAGGGTAGGGGCTGGGTAAGCACTGGAAAGGTAGAACAGGGTCAGGGTATGCATTTGGTGGAGTGCAGTACAATATGATGGAATTAAAAATCCAATAAATTAAAGTTGAGTCAGAAAAAGAAAGAAATCATGAATTGCTCCAATCACAAATACTGCTAAATCAAAGAAAAAGTCAAGGAAAATGAGAAAGGATGATTATTCACAAGAAGATATAATCCTAGAAGTTGCACTAACAATTCAAGATGGTTCAAGTGAAGATGATGAAAATGAAATTGAATTGAACGTTATGCTAAAGCAAAATTAGTCATTAGTAGCGAAGAATCTGTATTACAATGGTGGAAGAAGTGTAGTATAAATTATCCGACGCTAGATGTTTTAACAGGACCATTACTAGGTATACCAGCTAGTTCATGCACAAGCCAAAGAATATTCAGTGCCACTGGAAGAATCCCCGAAGAGCGACGTCAAAACTTAGGTGACGATATTGTGGACGATATCTTGTTTATAAGAAATTTAAAAAATATTTTATTGTAATCTTTTGTAGATTATTTGTAATGAAATAAATGAATAATTTATGGCATTTTAGTATTTCTGTCTTCAGTTCTACAGATTTTGTAGGGTAAAGGTACGAACATAAAAGTTTTACAGGGTGGGGTAGGGTCATGGTAGAAGACCTACAGGGTAGGGTAGGATAAAGGTAAACAAAAAATCCTGTATCAGGGTACAGGGTAAGAGAAAACCTTACCCTGCACATCTCTACTCTAACGTAACCAATTGTTTTCAGCAGCCAAGTATTTATTTGAATTTCGACAGTAGAAACCAAGGAAATGGTTTGTGAAAATTATATTCATAAGGAGCTACTGCGAATGTTACTAGATCAATAGATGTTTTCAAACCTTAATAAAAATAAATGTTTTATATATTGATGAGCATATATTTGATGATTTAATTAAATAAAATAAAAAGTACGGAGAATCATAGATGTCATATTGACATGAATTTCATAAAACGTTGTCTGGTCATTTAATCGGAGTAAACTATGAAATATCAAGTTATTTAAGACATCTTGGATGATTAAATTTTAAATTTTAGGCTTCGAAAGATTCCCTTTTCGACGATTAGTAGCGAAATATTATCTTTGTTATTTATTTTTAGCAACATAATCATAAATTTTATATGAATTTTGGTCTTTTGGATTCATTCTTTTCAATTTGATCTAAAATATTGTGTTGTTTCATTATTAATATTTAATCATATCATTATTGATCTTAAATTCTATTTCCATTTTCTTTTTCAGATATCATATGGATCAACTGTGAATCCGGAAGAACAATAGATACACTTTAAATCATGATACGATGAAGAATCTTCAAGCATAACATGCACATCATCAAATCGAAACACTGAATCTTTATCTAAATCAAGATAGCTAAATCATTGTTTTAATTTATTATTTTTATAGATTAGTTACAGTATATTTTCTAATGTGTTTTGCTTAGTAACTAGTATAAGAGTTAATTTGATAATACATTTACCCAAGTCGAGCAATCCGACAGTAGGCACCTATCGGAACCCATCCGATCCAACTGGAACCCAATAGGATTTTATCGGATCCTGTCAGATCTTAGAGAATTATCGTTGGATTCTGGGTCGAGGAATCGATGTCGGATCCTCAGTGTCGGATTCCTATGAATTCCAAGAAAAAACCGTTGTATATCATCGGAAGTTCATAGGATTCCGACACTGAGGATCCCGACATCGATTCCTCGACCCGGAATCCAATAGAATTGTATCGGATTGTAGGATATTTCCAGGTTTCTATCGGATCCGATGTTGGATCAGTCGACCTGGGTAATTCATTCTTTAACAATGTATTATACATTAAAAATCTAATCCGTATTTCTCATTGATCGTGTATGTTATTCAACTAACAATGGGTTTCAAAGCAAAATTTTGTATTGACATCGTTTAAAATAAGTATTTCCCCGTGAAATTCATCGAAAATCTTAATACTATATCTTTTCATAGATTTGCTTCCATAATTCTGATTATAAGTTTGCATCGAGCCGTTTGCATAGCTTGAACAATCAAAAGAAATTGTTTCATATCTTATAATTCAACAATTAACTATTTTATCTCAAAAGAAAGTGAGATTCGTTTGCAATTTTAAGTAACAACAACATATGTAGGAAGGAGAATTGTTTTCTTTCGCTTGTTATTTTGTTTGCTAAAGTTTAGAACACAACATATATATGACATAAGGTACTCTT